GGTCCTCCTCATTATGTTGGAAGCCAATGTGGTAGTGTGGCTATGGTACTACAGCCGGAATTAGCTGGGTGGCACAAGTGATTAATAAGGCCACTGCTAACCAAAATGATACCACTTCATACCACTTGGATGATTTGACCGAAGATAGGTCCACTCACCATACTGTACCCAAATGGCATGGACATACAGTCACCACTGTTGTGAATACAGATTAGTAAGTCATCTATCCATCACCCAAGTGACTTGCTGACAATGAGTCGAAATGTTGTTAACCCGTTCGGTGAGCTTGGCAACTGATTCGTAAGGTGAGTGTGTGCATTATGGTTTGACTCCCAGGTCATCCTCTGTGTTTCTACTGAACGACGATCGTCTGGTTACTATTCAGCCATGGTGCGTGTGGACTAGTTTGGTTGCGGCTATATCTTCTTTGATCATCGGTTCTCTGGGCCGGACCATCTTCATATACATGTCATGTGTGTTCCCCAGTCGCGGAGGAAACAGTTGAAACGCATCCTTGTTATTTTCTCCATATGACGACAACCAACAATAGGCAACTCGTGAGAATGACGAAACTGATCGTCAGACATATAAGCCTGCAGCGAATATACTGAATGACTTCCAGACGCAACCTGGATTCGCCCCTGGAATCCTGTGAGTATGTTGCGCTCACGTATCTATAGTAAGATGGTGTGTACGCAGTAAACATCTGATTGACTGAGACGTAATCATCTACGAAAATTATGTGCTCCACAAGTAGCTGATTAATCACTGGCATGTCCAGGGAGTTGACCGCAACTATTCATCTATAACGAGATCATTGAGGTCATATACGTGATGGATGACAGTATTTAAAGATAACTGAAATTTCGAATATCGTGGATAGTGCGGAGTTGCAACCATAATGAAGTAGAAATGTTTCAGTACACTTGAACTCGTTAAATAGACACCCTCGATACATTTACGTCAAACACAACTGGACATGACTAATTACACTGGGCTTTGCAATTAAACACGAGAATTTCCAGCAGATCTGCGAAATTTCTGACAAACAATACATACATACCTCCTTAATATTCTTAAAATATGAAATCATATGCTTCATGAAACGCACAAAAGACCACACGCTGTTCCATATGAAACTGGAAATCCACTGCATATTCCAACTACAGAACTACCTCACGCCTGTTTTTATTAACATTAGATCCTAAGAACTCTACACTAGCCGCAATGCTTTTCCTTTGAACACAGTCCAGAAGACCCAGAGACATTACCAGCAAAGCTTAAACCCATGGTACTCTCCCCTATTACTCTGTTTTCTAAGTTAGATGTTTCAGGTCGGCTTGCGGACTGTGCTCCTTCCCCTGAGGTATCCTCGGATTTTTAGGAGAATGTAAAAAACTGGCGGCTGACTGCAATGGCGTGACGTTTTGGGGCAGCAAGGCGAAACGGGTCTAGCAGATAGTTGTTTAGCATACATTCGGTTTTACAGAAACTTCAGTTTCAATAAGAAAAACCAAATGGACAAGCTAAAAAGTCTAAAAGTGAATTGCTGAGACTCTGAAAATGATACGCGCATTACAAAGATCGAAGAACAAGATGAATACGGGAGAGAAACCAGACGGAGATTTGAGGTTTATAGAGAATTTGGAGTTTTCTTCGAAAAATAGTTCAGTTTACATCGCTACAGCAGTTTCGATGGCATTCTTGAACGGTCGACACATGCCGCTCTTCGATTGCTGCGACCCCTTCAAGTCATTTTGCTGTTACCCCGTGTGCTTTCAAGGTTTTAGGAAGCACTTTGACCTCCAGCTAACAAAAGGGAGTTATTTTGGTTCGTCTGAATATGATGCGAATGGCATCGACATTGAAATCCATCAGAGAATAGCTAGCTTCCGGCCATTATCTAGGGTGGTTTTATGTTGCCACACCACCGCTATCACATCAGCTGCTAGTTCAGCGCTTAGAGAAAATATCAAGGCAAACAACACTGTGTTTTGCGTAACAGTTGTTTGCTGGAAAATCACAATCTTCAGTGCAAATTTTTTGTATAACTCAAAGTTACGATCACAGCGGCTGGCTTTTTATCAGGAAGGAAAAAATCGAAATCCTTTGTGATTCCTATAACTGTAGGGGTGCCTATGTGCACACATCAAAGTTCCAGAGATTCGCTTCGAGCATCTCTAGAGGAAAAAAATCATCCTCCGTGCCATCTGACGTGTTTTGTAAGGAATGTAAAATCCTACACAAAATCAATCAGGAGTTATGCCTGCATCGAATAATGCACAACCACACCACGCTCTGATTGGACATCCCAACTGGAGCAGAAGCAATACTTAATTAAGTGGACGCCGCGGCATTTATGCATTTCCAGTGGGCTTTACGAATAGTCAAAGTTTAATTTCGGCGTGTAGATTTCGTGATAACCGTTTGCCGAAGCAACAGACAACACATTAAAAACCAAAATTTACTAGTCTATGAGGGACTGTTTGACAAAGCTTCGTTGAAAGGTTCCGTTATCAGTAACTGCTTAACTAAAACTGTTTCAGCGTAGGTCGACATGTGACAATCATGAAGATTTCAAGACTCGACTCATACGTTTGCCGGAACAATCAAGCAGGGATGGGATTAATCACCATTCTCGCCGTGAATCTTGCCATCCGGTTCACTAGGATGACAAAATGGCAGTTTGAGCGGTTACTTTGGTTTCAGACTGCTTCAGGGACATAGCATGTGGAACTTACTGATGGAGTTAACCTCACTCCGCCAGTCAAGCTCGTCTCCGAAATCGAACCAGGTATACAATTTGATGACCTGGAGATATCATTTGTCAGGCAGCTGCCTGATGAGGTGAGCTTTCACCAGTGAACACATAGGAGCGGTTATGTGAAAACTAGAATTGAACACGGACAAACTACTTAAATTAGGGCCTAATTTAAATAGGCCACAGCCAATGGCAGACACAATAAAAGAAGCAAAATGGTTGGCCACTTATTCTGAAAGCAGGCGATCACGCAAAAGCAGTGGGACAGAAATACCCCGTGCCGGTGGATTTTTTCTCCACTAGAGCTACACATTTTTCCGCACTAAATCCAATGGACTGTGGTTGCTCACCGAAAGGTGGTCTTTTCGTGAATCATCCCAGAGAATCTGTGTGGTCAGCTCTGATAATTTTGAGGCCAAGAAGTGACTATGGGCCGCATCAAAGAAAACGACAGGAGTGAGCACATGCACTAGGATCGGGGAATAGTATAACATCGGAGGCTTCTAAAACAGAAACCTGCATCAAACTCGTGAATATATGAACGAACTTCAGCACACCTCATGTGGGTTAGCACGAGCGACTGGAATTAGTGCCAACTAGAAAGACTAGACGAACAAAATATCCTTAGGAGAATAGCAGTTATCGGTACAACAAGAAATAACTATAACAATTCACAACGCGACCAATATCGATTGGTCTTGCGCAACTTTATCGTGTACCCGGGGCCGAATCATTACGTTCCATTCCCATTGCAATATTCGACTTTTTAATGGTAGTGAAATAGCGATCTAATAGAAAAGAGCATGCCGTCAACGCGGGAAGGTGCGTCAAAATCGCTACAAATATCAGCCATCTATCTTGGTAGACAATCATCATCATCGACAGCATGACATCAGTGTTCAACACCGATGCTTCACTGCCGTACTTGGTAGACAAACTAGCGTTAATACCATTGCCATCGTGATATCTCCTTCCGGTTGAGCCGTTGTTTCGAGAACGTGCACTGTTTTTTTAAGGTTACGTGAACGTGTCCTTAAGACTATAATCGATAACGAAATTATGAGCCACAAATGTCCATGTGTTGCATATTCCGTTTACCGTAGGCAATTTTGTGCACATATGAAAGGTAGCGATCTATTTTTGTGCTTACAGGCTAGTTGTCAACACCTATGTCCGTAGCTTCTGCAAGGTCGATGAAGCACCTCTGTGCTGGTGAATTGGATAACGACAGAAGCCACGACTTGGTTCAGTTTACACAATGTTAATGTACTGGCATAATATTCAAGGGAGACGGCGGTTGCTGATAAAAATAGTGAAACTCAGCAAACACGCTTCATGTATATGGAAAAAAACGTACATCACATTCGATGCACTCATTTCTCCATCCAGCAGATCTGAAAAAATTAATAGCAGGAACCAGCTTGGTAGCCATGTTCGAACTGCAGTAAGCCCCACTGCGGACGGCCACTGAATGAATCAGCAAGGAAACCCGACATTTCCGTGCGGTACGATATGAAGAAATAGAACAAACAGACAGGCTACTTTTCACCGTGGGTTGGAAGAAAAGTGACAGGGACAACTAATGCACCCGTAGACAGCCCAACAATGACAGCAAAGGTCCGGTGTGGTTTCGAGCTCGGAGCTAAAAATAAATGATAAACAGTATGCTAATGGGAACTGACTTTTTTCTTTGCCTAATAAGATCATACCAGCCAAACAAATGACGAAAAAGAGGTGTGGCTGTGTGTAACTGTCTGGAATGTTTACTCAGGGTATCCTCAGATAAATGCCATCTTCTCATTATGAATAGGAGTTGGCGACTCAATCTTTTTATTGCAAAACGAGGAAGTACCTGGAAAGTCAAACGAAAGTGACTGTGGTATAACGTTGAAAAAAAAATTTTACCATCCGTGCACCTCGAATTTGGACACAGGTGTATGATACACGAAAAGTGAATGGTTTTGGATGGGGGTCTATGTATAAGACCAAGGTTGTCGAATGACCTTCAGCCGGGAGGCAAAACACTATCAACAAGTACGGCAGACGACATGGGTTCTAGAATCTCGCTTGAAGAAACCACTACAGATCGTCCAACAGAGGTTGCACTTGAGTCATCGGCACAGCTCATCGAAACGGATAAACTCGAAAGTCATAGTGCGTCAACATGATCAATTTGAGATGAAGAACAACATTGCAAATAGTCTTTTTAATAATGACACGAAAGGAACAAGGCATACGAGTTCTATACACGTGGTCGATCAGTTATCATCGAAGTGGGCGATCCCGACGCCCTGGGGTGTTCCGTGAATCCATGTTGGAGGGGAATAGGGGACTGAAAAACCATGTAGACAATCAGATAGATTTAAAGTTGGGTGGCGTGCATATAGGACACTCAAATAGCAATAGAAAATATTGGAAAGAATAAATTAAGTGTTATTAGGATGCCTAAAATATTCATATGGCAAGTAAATGGGCGCTCAGTGGCAAAATCATATTTCCAATGGAAGTTGCCAAAGCCGAAGAAATCAAACTGGGACGAAATAGATGGAAAAATAAGGAGTTCCATTTGCTTGAGACTCTCACGATTACTAGTCAGAGCATCACCGCAGCGAAAACGTCAGCAATCTCTACCAACCTGGTCAAAAAGGGACCATCAAATTGGGAAGCTAAAAAAAGACAAAAACTCCCTTGTCATGTTCACGCACCACCAAATAAATTCCTCATACAGGGGTAGCTAACAACTAATTTCACACTGGTTGCCTTGTGTATAAAGCCGTGAATAAGTGAACTTGAAAGACAGTCCAGGAAATCGCATTTTGTGCTCTATAAAACCGGAAGTGAAAGAACCGCTCTGTTTTGTAAATGGCCCTTGATAAATTCTGAGAACGACTACCGTTGTTCAATCCGGTACACTATGAAAGCAGACAAGGCGATGTCCACCTGCAGAGCGAGGGACATCTTGTTCTCAGAAATAAGCGGAATGATTTCATTGCTAAAATACGAATATTTATTGTGCTACATACCCTCAAAAAGTTGATCGTTTATGGAGTCTATTAAGTAAAGCAACGCGTAAGAATCGACTCGTTCTTGATTTCCTCCGCTCCTGTTTATGTGTCCTTGAGAAGGCGGGATGCTCAGGAATCGACCGGTATATACGAAGGTCACGAACGTCATTTTCATGGTTGGAACTGGCACTGAGTTCATTTGAATCACTCGATGGGTACTAGGCGAATCCTCATCATAACTACTGGATTAAGAAATCATGTTCAAGGGTCTACGTAGGCATAGCAACGAAAGTGATCAGTTTTCTGGTCGACGTCTTTGGGTTAGAGAGCAAGAAAACCGAGATTTACTACAAAATTCGTGAGAGAATATTAAATGGACGTTGAAAACGTTTTACCACCACTCTATTTGGCATCATCAGCATCCGTTAGGCAGTGAAACATCCGCTGATCTGAAGGAACTTTGAAGCAATGAAATGGTGTAGGAACCAGAGTTATGGGTGTCTGAAAATTGCAAACAACTGAGGAATTTAGGCTGGAAATGTCACCTTACGATAAAGCTACTGGTGGCTGTGAAATTGATGTGCCCATTTCATTTATAAAATCGGCCGACCGCCTTTCACAATCCCTTTTATACAAAGGGCGGAGAAATCACTTTTGACCTTGCATATTTTAGTTTCCGCATTTATTGTCACGAACTGCAGAGGTCCTTTCACCATCTTTAAAAGCACAAAACGTTATTTCCTCTAGAACCCATTATGCTGGCCAGCCGTTGCCTTGTAATGTCCCATAATGACGAAACAAGTGTTTTCATTCAGAGTTTGTCATCCAAAAGTAGCACGGTGAACAGCATCAGGTTCATCATCATCATCATCATCATCATCATCATCATCATCATCATCCACAGCATGACATCAATGTTCAACACCAATGCTTCACTGCCGTACAACCACGACTTATTTGAAA